CCCCCCTCACACACACACTGCACGCAGACAAAATTACACGCTTTCAACTCCAGAGCGCTGGAACGTTTGTTTAAACTCAATAGTACCTTTTCTTGTAGATTCAATGTCCCGTCTTCCAGTTCGGTACGACAGTCTGAACCTGACACTGTGCGTAAAAACTCTACGTGTCTATAATATGAAACACAATTGTGTGGGCATAGCAAGCTGTGATACATTGCACGCATGCGTGCGTATAGACTCAGCCTTTAAAATACTTTGCCGCCTCATCTCGCCGATTGGCAATATTTACCACCCAGTTTCTTTGGATTTTCCCCAAAATATGATGGCACAGTGTTTAAACTGTAGCTTGTTCACTTGTGTCACCTTTAAACAATAAAAAAAAAAAGACAAGCTCATTTACTTTGCATAATAATAGCACTCCTTTAGGCTGGTGACCAAACAAAAATATTTCTTTTAAATTGAAAAAAAAAAACGTAATATAGTTCTAAAACGGTTCTTTATTTGGGCCCTGTATGAAACATCACCCTTAAGGTACATGTACATACACTGGATCCCTACGATATGAGATTTAGCCTACTAGAATTGTTCATTTAGAGACAGCAAGACCGCTCTGCACCCACATTTCAGTTAGAGACTAGATTAATTTCCTCCCAAGACCATCTATACATTAATATGAGTCTCGAAAAGTACTCTTGCGTCTGTTTGACTGTGTTTCACAGGCATGCGTTAAGTGTGATGTTGATGCCAGGAAGTTGGTAGGTCCCTGTGTTGATGAAAATAGGTCAAGTCTTTTATACTACAGTATAGTATTGTATACATCATCGCTTATTTTCGGAACCGCTTTAAGCTTTCATCAAAGATAACACCTTGGAACCTTATTTTGCAGTGGCCTTATGTAATGTGCTTTTAGGTTCTTTTGGACATTCAACTTTTAACCGCATACAGAGGCTTTAAAAAATTAAACAGAGCTTTCGGTTTTATTCGGTTTTAAGTTAGGCGATTAATTTGTTCAAGATAGGCCTACCGACCATTCAGAACGGCAAGATGTGTGTGAACTCATCAGATACGGCCATGTAAGTGCCAAAGATTGCAGGTGGTACAAGAAAGTATAACTATCACAAAAACAGGAGGAGAGATCGGGAAGATAGATTATGTGTAGGAAAGGA